AAGCTTTTCCTTCCTTGTCCCCTTTCCCTTAGTTAGGTGTTTCTGCTTTGTCCTCCTCACTACACCTTATAACAGCCTTGGGCTAAAATTGGAAACGAAAAAATCCTAAAACTGTGTATTTTGGACTCTGACCCCTACCTGAAATCACATTAGGTCCAGACGCCTCTCCACCCCTCCCTGGAGTGTTTCAGATCTGCGGATGCATGCGTTCCCCCAGGGAACACAGGGGGATGGGCAGGCGGGCATTGTGTTCCATTTTTGCTCTGGCTCCCTGGAGAGCTGTCTGAGGGTGAGATCCCAAGTCAAGACCACGAAAGCCTGTGCAGGAAGGCTCCCTGTGGCACCCCTGGTACTCAGAACTAAGACTTCAGCATGGCCTGCCATTGCTGCTGAAGCTACCAACCTCCAGTGCCTCGTCCCCAAGAGGGTCTTGCAGGCTATGGCGGGGGGTGGGGTGGGGTGGTGCTGCATTTCTTTGCCGGCATGGAAGATGGGTCCAAAAGGACAATCCAGGAAGAGTGGAAGATGAGCTCTGTCTCGTAAGGAGAGAGATTCCTCAAACACAGGAAAAGTGAAGGAAAAGACTAAAAAATGTTTGCTGCAGTATATCCTTTGGGACGCCCCCAATTGACACATATTCCTCTTGCCATAAGGAGGTCTCTTTAAGATGCTTTCACTACAGCGATCACCATCTGCGGTGGACTGCCAGCATCTCATCCCTTAAAATTAACTCGTATTTTCTTGCCTGGAAAGCTATCCAGGCTCTATAACAAGTCCCAGATTTCCTTCTCTTCCTCCCTTCTTTTTTAATTTCCCCTAATGGTCTCTTTGTGACAATTACGTCAGGCTATTAATTTCCTCATCAAGCCTGGTTCTTAAAGATGCAAACAACAGAAGCTAAATTTGGCAAATTTAAGAAGTAAATGAATTTACTGAAAGATAGTGGATAGTTCACAAAATCTCCAAGAGGGTGGAAAAACCAAATTCATGCCACCGAACCAAAAACATAAAGACTCTGCTGCCACAGCCACTGGGTGCAGACCCCGCACCTAACACTGCCAACCTCACCACGTTGCCATGATGCCCACCCTTAACCAGAATGGAGGCAGCACAGTCCTGGTTTCCTCACGTGAGTAACTTCATTCAAAACCCAGGGTGGCTACAGCTGGCTAGTCCAACTGGTTGGAGCATCATCCTGATATACCAAGTTTGCGAGTTCGATCCCTGGTCAGGGCACACACAGGAATCAGCCGATAAATGCATAAATAGGTGGAACAAAGCAATATTTCTCTCTCTCTCTCAAAGCAATCAATAAAAATTATTCTAAGGTGGGTCATATTATCAGTGCCCTGGTTGCAAAAAAGGCTAGAAAATGATACCTGGTATTTTCAGCTTCTATAGTAGAAATGGGCTGTGTAATAAGGTGAGGGATTCACCAAAGAAAGGAAATCATATATTTGTGATGGTCAAAAAAGATGGTCAGATGTCCATTCAATCTTGAGACACCCCCTCCTGTTTCTGTTGCTTCCCTCGGTTATTGCCTGTTCAGTCAAGTTCAGAGTTCTTGATTTGCAATGCCCTAAAGATGGCTGTGAAGGATGTTGCTTAAGCTAACGTAGAGATTGGAGGGGGAGGCACTGTGCTATTTAGGAAAGAGTGGAAACATATAATTCTACATGTGTCATACATTAGCTGTGAGAATTTCCACACTTACTCAAATAACCTGGGCCTCGGAAGTGATCTGCAGAAAGTCCCACACAGAGGGCATCAGACTTCCGACTCTGCATGCTCTTACATGCTATGTATGCATGGTTCTCTAGGTTTATTCTATTAAACAAACAGATCTGGAAATGAAAAGCTATGTGCACGATTTTTAACATCTAAGGTATAAATACCACTCAGACTGTTTATGAATTACAAGGATGGTCACCAAAGGAGTCATCTTTTTTAGACGTCTGCTTGTTTTGGAGTTAGCCGAACGTAGGGGAGCGAGGAGGGCCTGCCTACCAGGATGTCTTTGCCAGCAGCCGCATGTTTAAACTTGTAACACTGACAATCCCTGAATTATCAAATCTCTTTCCATTCTATCTTTCTGATGACTTTGTTATCATTAGCACAGACTTGCCCGTAATTTAAAAAGGACAATGATATTTGCTTCTGCTGGAAAAGCTAGGCTCTAAGAAGCATACAACCATCTCTGGAAACCCTTTCTACGTTACTCCAACCCTGTAAATGAAATGTCATTTATGTTGCTTTGAAGTATTTAGTCAAAAGGAGGAAAAGGGCACGTCCAGAAACTGAACTCTGAGGTATGAGTACAGACGAGCAGTGAGCAAGCACAAGCAGGCAGCAAAGTGGTAAATGAACTCTCGGTTGCCTAATAATGAAAGAAAAGAGCTGATATTTTTCTTTTTTTATTTAAAGAATAATACAATTTCATTTGATTCTTGCTAGAGTAAAAAAAAGGCAAGAGTCAGAATAATAAATATTTCCTTTTCATAAAGAAGGTCACCACATCTCAGGGTGGAGGGGGATGCTTTTCAGCTGGGGGAGCAAATGCCTATAGAATGCAAAGGATTTGTTTTTTCAGATCAAGAGAGTTTATTTCTATTTTTCAGAATGTTTAACATTAGGAAGTCTTTGAATAGTTTTTAATATATTTGTAGGCTAGGGATGTGGAGGATACAGGCCAGCAGTATCCATCTCGGCTGTGGATGCTCGTCAACACGTGAGAAAAAACATACACAGAGACAACCAGGTCCTGTGGGGGAATAGGAACAGTAGGGCCACTCCTCACGTGGGGAGCGCCTTGGCCACCCTCTCTCCTGGAGGGCGCCATGGCCACTCCTCCTGAGGGGAGCGTGCCGTTCCCCCTGCAGAGAGGCTCTTTATTGGTTTCGTTTGAATAAGAATTCAGGTAAAAGCTCATTACTCATTGCTAGGAAGTGAGGATCAAACAATAGATAACAAGGAAGTCTGAGGGCCTATTTTGAGTCAGGGTCAAAGAGCTGTAAAACTTTAAAGAACAAACTTACTTCTTCCTTGGACCCTTATCATTCAACTGAGAGCATTCTAAACAAAGCAGGTTTCACAGGATCTTACATATTCTTTCTTAGGCCTGATCACCTGGGGAACCCGCCCTTTCTAGCACAGGGCTGCACCACCCTGTCATTGTTTCAGGCTTAGGTGGAGCAAGGGAACTAAGGCAGCCAAGAGATTAGGAGTTTTTCTCCCAGATGATGAGGACTCAAGCTATATCACAGCCGAGGAGCAAGGGTCCATCACCCCCTTTTGCTGTAGCCCCCAAAGTCCTTTCTTGGGGGCCTCCCACGTGATTGTGCCTGTCTTAGGTCATTCCCCTCTTGGGGAATCTTACCCATCTTTGGCTAACCGACCAAGCTTTGGGGTTCAGTTATGAATGAAGCAGCAGAAGCAGCACTCCTGCCAGGGTGATAAGCTTTTTTCTCCTTGCTGGCTTACAGTTCCAAGGGTGTTCCCTAAGCCTTATCCTAGGTGGGGGTTATAGCTTCTGATACCAGGCAGGGCAGCTCCCAACATAGGGAAGCAAAATGCGCATCACACACACACACAAAATGATAAAAAGGTACATAATAGCCAATATCCATTTCAAAGAAAAGATTGAAAAATTAAATATTTGACTTCTCAACTACAGTCAGTTGAACTTACAGCCTCCATTCACTTATTTAAAAGACATGTGAGAGCATATGATGTCATAAACCTTGTGTCAGGCCATGCAAAGACAAAACAAAAAAAAAAAGGCACATTCTTGTGCTGGCTGGTGTAGCTCAGTGGATTGAGCACAGGCTTCGAACCAAAGGGTCACCAGTTCAATTCCCAGTCAGGGCACATGCCTGGTTGTGGGCCAGGTCCCCGCCAGTGGGGGCCACATGAGAAGCAACCACAAATTGATATTTCTTTCTTTTAAATAAATAAATTTCTTTATTTAAAACTAAATAAAATAAAAACAAAAACAAAAACAAAACCCTTATTAAAAAAGGCATGTTCTCAAAAGGCTTGCAATCTCAAAGTAAAAAACACACATGAGGTAAACCTACTGAAAAGGAGTGTGTGTTACGTGTCGTCAGACTGGTTTCATGGCACTTTTCCCCTCCTTTGTCATGGTGCTTCTCACATTGCTTTGCAGTTATTTGTCACTTGTCCATCTTCCTTACTAAATTGTGATATCTTATTCCTCTCTGTAGTTTGCAGCCTAGACTACAGGGGCTCAGTAACTGTTTGTGTAATAAATGAAACAAGTTGATGACTAAATGAAAAAAATGGCTACAATTTACAGGCAGGGATCATGTCTGGCTGGGGTGATCAGGTAAGGCGAAGTCCTTTCAGTCAGATCGTAAAGGATTTAAACATGAAAGTTCAACAGAGCGAACGTGGGCAGCGGGTAGGAAACAGGAAAGAGCGATGAACTGAAGGAGAGCTCAGGAGTCCAGTTTTAACACGACCCCCGGCAAAGGTAGGGTCTCACCTGTCATGATGCGGTGGGCGGGTGAGAAAGGCACCCCACCCAGCTTCTCAGCGAGGACAATTGGCCCCAGAAAGAGTTTTAATTCCTCTATAAATTTTAAAATATTGAAGATTATGTAAAATCACTTTGCTTCTCAGGAAGTTAATTTTTTCCATGATTGGTACTTTTTCCTGCATTTGCTGTTTAAATAATTTAACAAAGTTAAAAATTCAGGCTTTGGTATGGATCATATAACCTGGTAAACTACACAAGATTTTTCAACAAATTGTGGTAAAATGCATATAACATAAAATTTACCACCTTAATAATTTTTAAGTGTATAGTTCAGTGGCATAAAGTACATTCACACTGTTTTGTTAGCATTACCACCATCCATCCACAGAACTCTTTTTATGCCTCAGATTTTTAAAACTTAAAAAGATAAAATTTTACTACAGGCAAAAGTCATCAAGTACCTGTTTAATAAAGCTATTTACATTTTAAACATGTGACAAAATTCAGACTGAAACAAAATCAGTTTATTAACTAAATTTTTGGGTTTGGTATTTAACAGGTGATTGTATAAACATTGGCCTCCTAAGTCACAATCTAAGATCAATATAAAACCTTGTACATTCTTCTCTTAAAAAGGCATAATTCAAAGACTAAAAGTCCGATTTTACAAACCCAGAAAAGAGGCGATTTCGGACAGTGTAAGGAACCAGAAGGTCCCCTTCCGCTAGACGGGTCCCATGGGAAGAGACAGGGGTGAGGGTGAAACTCTGGCCACGCCCACGCCTTCTTGGGGGCGCCTACGTCTCACCGTCTCACCGGTGGGAGCCACCCTTGCAGAAGAAATGGTGTCAGTTCACGTGGTGGTTCTGTCTAAGGGGGCACGGAAAGAAGCAGGGTGGTGTGTCCCAGTCTCCTGCCAGGACTCCGTTCATTGGAAAACAGCACAAGGCAGAATCAGAACCCAGGGTTTCAGGATCCAAGCCCTGTTTTACTTCTAAGAGAAACAGTTCTCTGAAACTGCAATCTTCTCTATCTCAATGTAACGATTTCTTCAGGTCCTCAGTTCAGACTCTCAATCAGGACTTCTTTTTCTCAAATGCTGCCCCCTGCAGTTGGTTTGGTTCTGACGCTATCTGTGGAGCAGGTGCCGAAGCTTGGGAAACAGTTTCAGTGCGTTCTGCGTTGTCGCTTCCACGACTTCTTCCACTGAGATTCCTTTCACCTGGGCAATATACTCTGCGGAAATGGCAATGTTCTGGGGTTCATTCCGTACCTGAAACAGAACAAAGCAGACACTAAATCAAACATGATTGTCAAGAGAAGCAAGCGATCCTTGAAGACAGCCGAGAAAACAGAAGAAAATGAGTTGGTAAAAACAACTGATGAGCTCTTTTTACTGTTGGGGGAACCACAGGGAGGAGGAGGAGGGCAGTGAGGCTGGGGAGAAAGGCTGAACTTAAAAGCTACAGCTGTAAGACTGACTGAAGTGTGTGTTGCTCCTGAAAAGGGCTCTGGGGTATTAACAGTTGAGGTCCCAGCATCCAACAGACTGCAAATAGTGGACACTTGGTGGCCTGCATGACTGACAGATTGGCTGTCCTTTGTTTTGCTGCTTAACTGAGTGCTTGTAAAGGTCAATGCTACTGCTGCTTGGCCTCTTCACCTCACAGGCTACATCACAGTTTGATTCAGGAAATGCCAGCCATGGCCAGGTGGCTCAGTTGGTTGGAACACTGCCCCATACACCAAAAGGTTGTGGGTTCGCTCCCTGGTCAGAAGATTGTATAGAAGGTAACCAACTGATGTTCTCTCTCACATCGATATTTCTCTCTCTAAAGTCAATAAAAGCAAGTTATGAAATGATATGTTCAGGCTAACCCTACATTTATGAAAAATACATATGTGTATCTATGTGATATAAAAAGTCTGGAAGGACACATCTACTTGCATTTACTTAAGCATACTGTAGGAGAGGTTATGTTCTAAGTTTTTTGTGAAATTTCTCAGTTAATCCTCAATTACTCTATGAGTTGGTACTATTATTACTAGCATCCCTTTTCATAGGTGAGAAAGGATCCTAAACAGCTGGTAAGTAGCCCAGCTGAGGTTTGAACCTGTGCAATAGGACACCAGAGTTTATGTTCTTAGCCGCTACAGTTAGCGGTAACCTTCCGGGGCTAGACGGTTCTGTTTTCTAGTTTACGACTTTATGTGATTTCTAATTTTCTAGAATAAACACATTTACTTAACAAACAGCATATTCAGTTAAAAATTCACTTATTCAATAAATGTTTTGAGTACTATGTGCAAAGCATTATGCCAGAAACTCACAATTTTTATCAGATCAACTAAATATACATATAAAATTGAGTTACAAGAGCACTTGACATTCATTTCTGTTTAAGGAAAAAACACTGGGTCCTTTTCCTTCTGTTTTATGTCAATCAGGAAGACAACTTTGTACCGTTTTGTCCTGCACCCAAAGGAGCAAACAGGAGTCGTGACCTTCTAGTTCCTCATTCCTCTGTCTTCTATGTTCTTGTAAGAGCTGACTTATGAAAATGTGTAGCTAATTGGACATTCGTGAGCAAACGTCACACTGCAATCACAGTCAGTCACGGTTTGTTAACAAACGCATCCCTACTGCTCCCAAGCCTCTGAGTCCTGCAGGCGTGGAGACAGATCTGACGGGCAGCCAGGGCCGCGAGGGAACCGCACGTTGGGAGGGACGGAAATTGGTACTGTCTACCACAGATCAGTCGGATAATGCGGCTTCCTTTGAGAAAACTATAATTTAAAGTAGTAGCAATATTTAAACTGTAATTCTTTGTGGCCTACAATAACAAGAGTACAACAAAGATCACATAAACAAATCTATGACTATATATCAATACTTGTACTGGGAGAAATAGTGCCTCATTATAACATGCTAATTAAAAGAACAAAAATAAACATTTATTGAGCCTCTTTACTATATACCAGATAGTGCTAGGCACTTTCATATACAGTACTCCATTTAATTCTCACTGTGATACTTTAAAGTATTTTACTATTATTCTGCCCACATTTTATAAATGAAGAAAGTTTCAGAGAGACTAACTTGTCCAGAGTCACATAGCTAGTGGGTAGCAGAGAGAGGATTTGAATCCAGGCCTTTCTGACTCTCAACACCGAGATTTTTGCTGCATTGGTCTGGCTCTCATTATTACATAATAAAATAATATTCTTCAGGACACAACAGTAATATTTAGAAAAGACCTGAAATTAAGTTAATATAACCTCTCAACCTAGCATTAAAAAAGGATTCCGTTGTAGTTACACTGTAACAAGAAACACAGCTAAATCAAAACTAGTTCAAACGAAAGATACAATCTAAAGAATGTAGAAATCAGACAATCATTTACCTGTTTTTCTGGTCCTAGTGCAGGTGAATCTGTTTCCAGACAAATTGAGGTTAAAGGCAATTGTTTCACCAGTTTCTGCTTCTTGGAGAAAAGAGAAAACTAGTAAGTTTAAAACACGAGTAATAAAGATAACAAAAGGAACATTAAACCCACGTGCCAATGCCTTCTATTCTGCAAGAACTTAAAAAATTCATACTTTAATATGCAATTAATAAATGTTCCCTATGTTCTCACCATTCTATAACTAGTAGATTTGAACAGAAACATTCATTGCCGAAAACTACCCAGAGACTCCGGGGACCCAGGGAGCTGTCACCAACTGCACGCCCTGCGGGGGCGCCAAGCACTCGCATCCCCAGCCCGCGGAAGGATCTGCGGAGGGGGTTTGTAGGCCTCCACCACACCCGGTGTTCCTTTCTTCTGTCCGCCTGAAGTCACTCAAGGCTTTATGTTTATAAATCCAAAGTTCATACCCACATGTTAGATTGCGTGGTAGATGGCTTTATTTTCTTATTTATAATTTTTTTGTCTGGACTATAAGGATTGCGATGAACTCAATGAGTTTTATACCAAGAACATAATTCTTTTGTTGCCACTGCACTGTTAAAGTAAAAAATGAGGAGACACATGATGCAGAGTAGAATATTGTTATATCAAGCCATTTTAAGATTAAAATTTCAAAAGCACAGAAAAAGGTATGCTCATACACTGTTGGCCAATAAAAGTTAAACCAGTATAAAGTTCTTTAAGAAAATGTAACAATTTAACAAAAAATTTATGACTGTACACCCTGTCCTGAGTGATTCCATTTGCAGGGAATCACTGCACAAGCACGTGTATGGACTGTGGGTGTACACAGGTACTCACGGAGGTACTGCTTCTAGCAGTGAAAAATGAGAAACAATATAGCCTTTACTTAAGGCAGCGATTTTCGACCTTTTTTCATCTCATGGCACACATAAACTAATTACTAAAATTCTGTGGCACACCAAAAATATATTGTTTGCTGGTATGGCAAAAACATAGGTGTAAGTTTGATTCAGTCCTACCACACAGCTGTTGTGTTGGCTGCTGTCGTTTTTTTATTTGACAGTCTAAGTTCATGCCCCTGACTAAATAGTCAGGCACTGCATGTTTCAGAAATTCTTGCAGTTCACCTGCTGAAAATCACTGACTCAAGGTGATGCTTAAATACATTGTAGTACACCCATATGATGAGATATTATGAGATCATTTTAAAGATGACATAAGCCCACATTTATCGACACAAACAGATACCCATGAAGCTAACTCAAAACAAAGAGACGATTTTATTTTACGTGGATCAACATTAGTAATCATTGCCTGAGTGGTAGCATCTGGGCTGACTTAAAATTTGTTCTTTTCGGAAGTGATTCAATGTTCTATAATGTACAAATATCATCTTTAAAATTAGAAAAAGTAGAATTTTAGTTTTAAAAAAGAAACATGCCACAGCTAAAGATTACTACTAAATAAGTTTTCCTACAAAGTATGAAAGTAGGAAAATGAAAACTGATCTTGAGCAACTACCAACTGACACCCCCAGAACTCTCCACCCCACAAGAGGCGGATGCACGTTCTCGTTAAGCGTGCACCATATTCGGGGCCATTCCACAAACCTCAACCAATTTAAAAGACAGAATCATACAATGTATGTTTCCTGAACACAGTAGAATCAAAGTAAAAATTGGTAATGGAAAGATAACAGGAAAATTACTAAGTATTTGGAAATTAAACAATATGCTTAAAAAAGATTTTATTTATTTTTTTAGACAGAAGGGAGGGAGAAAGAGAGGGAGAGAAACATCACTGTGTGGTTGCTTCTCATGTGCACCCCCACTGGGGACCTGGCCCCACAACCCCGGCATGTGCCCTGACGGGGAATTGAACTGGTGACCCTTTGGTTTGCAGGCGGGGGCTCAATCCACTGAGTCACACCAGCCAGGGCTAAACAATATACTTTAAATAATCACTATGGTCAAAGAGGGGATCACAAAGTAAATCAGAAAGCATTCTGAACTGTAAGAAAGCAAAAACACAGCATAATATCAAAATTTGTGGATTGTAACTATAAGTGGTTAGTGCTAATGCAACCATTGCATTAATAATATAACTACGTTAGAAAATACAAAACGTTTCAAATAATCTAAGGTTCTACCTAAGAAACTGTAAAAAGGATAATATGATCAAGTAGAGTTTATCCTAGGAGTGCCAGGTTGGTTCAACATCAGAAAATCAGTCAATATAATTTACATGCCAAGAAGAGAACTATGTGACCATCTCAGTAGATGCAGGAAAAGTATTTGACAGAATCCAACATCCATTTTTGATAAAAACTCTCAGCAGACTAGAATGACAGGGGACTTCCTTAACCCTATAAAAAAACCTGCAGCTGATAGTATACTTAATGGCAAAAGAATGAATATTTTCCCCTGATCAGGAAAATGGCAAGGGTGTCTGTTTTTACCACTTCTAATCAACATTCTACTAGTAGCTGTTCCCAATGAAATAAGGCAAGCAAAAGAAATAAATGGCACAAATATTAGAAAAGAAAAGGCAACATAAGAGAGAAAGTTAACAAATCCATAAAAAATCCTGAAAAACCTAAAAAGCTCTACTAGCACTAATGAATAATTCAGCAGGGTCACTTGATAAAATTTAATATACAAAAATCAACTGTATTTCTATATAACAGCAATGAATAATTGACCATTAAAATTTTAAGACCAGTATTGTTTAAAATAGAATGAAAAATAAGAAACGGATAAATCTAATACATGCAGGATATGTATGTTGAAAACTATAAAACAATGACCAAAGAAATCAAAGATCTAGCATGTTCACATGAGTTATCCCCAAATTGATCCACAGATTCAATGTACTCCCAGTAGAAGCATCAGCCAGCTTTTTTTGTAGAAATCAAGCTGATTCTAATATAGATGGAAAGGCAAGGGACTTTGAATAGCCAAAATGATTTTGAAAACAAAGAGCTAATTGGTGTGCTCCCGCTCTGGGGAGCATGTCCATGCCTTTTCCTTTCCCATCTTCTCTCTTGGGAGTGCATCTCCTCAACTCCAAGGGACTGCTCAAGACCTGACACCAGGGGCGCAGTGGGCAGTGGCAGCGCATCCTAGGCTCACCCCCTGCACCTGTCTCCAGGACCCCTTTACCCTGCTTTCTCATTTCTCTCCTGTCACATTTCTAGAGAGCCAAAGCAGCCCTGCACCAGCTTTCTGTTGTTTGTTCTGTCCTATGCTTCCTTGTTTCAACGTCCCCAGCTAACAAATGTACTCTAAAAAAAAAAAAAAGAGCTAAATGCCCACATGAACAGTGTGGCTCAGTTTGGAGTGTCATCCCACAAAGCGAAATGTTGCTGGTTCGATTCCCGGTCAAGGCACATGCCTGGGTTGCCGGTTTGGCCCCCTGTCAGGGTGTGTACGAGAGGAAACCCATCGATGTTTCTCTCCCTCTTTTCCTCCCTCCCTTCTCGTCTCTCTAAAAATAAAATAAAATTGTTTAAAAAATATACTGTAAATCTAATGTAGTCACGGTAGTATGATATTGACATAAGGTTGGGAACCTAAGATTAACTTTTGTAATGTAACTAGGATAATATCACAAGTATGTAATAAAAGCTCATATTTTAAAGTGTATTTCACAAAGTGTGAGATGAACTTTATTGAAAGAATTTACCTGTCCACTTCTTACGACAGAAGGAGGAATTGAGAAGAAGTATCCAGCTTTTACTCCTTCCATGGCTACGGATGGCCGACCGTCAAATGCATGGAGCAGCACTTTGTCAGCACCTTTCAAAAATAAAAGACAGATCAGACTTCCAATTTATTTCCTCAATGGGAGGTTCTCCATTCATCAGGCTGAACAAGAAAGACCAGAAATTTGGTCACTATGATACAAAGTTGAGGTTCTATGACCTCTAAAGGATGGATAAGTGTACAGTAGAATGAAAGTACAGTAAATTCCTAATCTTCAGAATAAAATTATTAAATAAAATTGAAGGAGAAATTTTTAAATAATTATTTAATCTTCCCATATCATCATTTCCCAGAAGTTTGAGAGCTGTCGAATTACTGGTCCTAGCAGGAGGTTCTTACACCATCAAGCAGCCCTTAGCGAGAAGGCCCGTGGAGGAAGAAGTGGGAGTGAGCTGACTCGCGGGTCCAACAGCTGAGTTCGCTTCATAAAATCACCTCCAGGTCCTAAAGAGCGGCTGCTCGGCCTCCGTAAAAATCACGTTCTCAGTGATGCCAAAAGGGTTTGGTGCCCATCACTGAGAAACACAATGCTTTCCAGTTGCAGGCAGTTACGTTTACTTCACTATTTGATGCAGTTTTTCAAATAGCAGTTGTGACCTTAGTGGGTTACGACCACAAGTCAGTTATGTAACCAATTTAGTGGGTCAAGACTGACCAGTGTGTGCTTGTATATGTGTGTGCAGGTGCACACGTACATACACCTACACACAACGGACATGCTGTTCTTTAAATTTTGTCAATTTTCTGAACAGACTGAATCTCAAAATAAAGTCTTAATACCAAAACATGGTATTTTTTTGGTGTTTATATTGAGTATCAGAATATATTTCTTACTGTACATAGATAGCACTTTTAAAAGTTTGAGAATATGATACATATAAGATACATTTCTACTTCAGGAATATAAATTACTTAATCCAATTTTTCATTTGTTTTATCCTGGCCTGATATATATAATCACACTGGAAACCTTATAAACAGTAGGCTAACTTGCAAAATCACTTTAGATGATCTCCACCTCCACCCTTGCCCCTTTTCCTCCCATTTAAGAAATCAAATTAAAACATGGCTTTTCCTGTGAGGATATGGCCTGGAATGACCAAACTTAAACAGTAGGCACATTTGTCTCAGGAACCTAAATACCTTGCTCATTTAAGAGGCTGATGGTGGGTCTTCCAGCTGAGCGTGAGTGAACATTTCTGTTTAACAAAAAAATTCCTGTTACGTACTTAGTGTGATAACATGATCTTTGTTCTATTAAAGTAATTCAGAGAAAAAGAAATGGAGAGCTCCATTTCAAAAGAATCATTATTTAACTTGCTCTATAGCTGTTACTATGGAAAGATGACTGAGGAACCTACAAAGGCAAATCCAGTCTTTTAGCCAGCTGGACCTGTCTGATTAGGACTTGTCTTTGTTCTTCCTTCTGCTCATCAGTGCCAGCAAACCTAGGGGAGAAATCAAGCCCCACCTACGACAGAAAAGGAAAACAGAGTGAAATGTTTGTGGTTTACTGAACCCCAAAGTCATGCTATGGAGCGGTGCTTGGACAGCACGCAAGAGGAATATAATGGGTGCCACCCATGCAAGCCACACACATGACGGATGTTTTCTAGTGGCCACATCAAAAACACTGACAAGAAACAGGTGGAATTAATTTCAATAATATTAATTTTAATAATTTTAAATGCATTTTACCCAGTACATAAAAAATGTTATTATTCTTATTATGCAGTAATATATTATTATTATATTTCATAATCAATGTATAAATGATTGAGTTACTTTACATTAAGTCTTTGGGGTGCTAAGACTTTGGAACCCTCTGTGTGTTTTATCCTTAAAGAGCACACCCCAATCTGGATCAGTCACATGTCGAGTGCTGCATGTGGTCATCACATTGGACAGGAAAGATGATGAATGACTGCTTTCCTTGATACTATTTTGGCATGCATTGTTATAGTCTATATTCTGGTTTAACTGTTATTCTTATCTTTTATCTTTATCTTTAATTAGAAGTGAAATGTATTACCAAGTGATAACAATGTTTTATAACTGCTAATTGTTTAATAGAAGTGTTCTCTAATTACACTCTGCCCTGTTTGAAATGTTTGTATATACTACTTTATTTTTTATTATATTTTACTGTTTATGCCATTACAGTTGTCCAAATTTTCCCCCATTTGCCTCCCTTGATCAACCGCCCCCTCCCAGGCAACCCCCACACAGTTGTCCATGTCCATTGGTCATGCAAATATATTCTTCGGCTACTATATCCCCATGCTGTCCTTTACATCCCCCTGACTATTCTGTAACAATGAATTTGTACTTCTTAATCCCTTCATCTTCTTCACCCATCCACCCAACACACTTCCCATCTGGCAGCCATCAAAATGTTCTCTGTATCGATGATTGTTTCTTTTCTGCTTGTTTGTTTTTTAGAATTAATTGATTGACAATATGTACCTATTGTCATTTTATTGTTCATATTTCTGATCTTCTTCTTAAAGAAGACCCTTTAACATTTCATGTAATTCTAGTTTGGTGGTGATGAACTCCTTTAGCTTTTTCTTGTCTGGAAAGCTTTTTATATATCCTTTGATTCTAAATGATAGCTTTGCTGGGTAGAGTATTTTTGGCTGTAGGTCCTTGCTTTTCATCACTTTGAATACTTTTTGCCATTCTCTTCTAGGCTGCCAAGTTTGAGAAATCAGCAGACAGTCTTATGGGAGCTCCTTGTAGGTAACTAACTGCTTTTAAGGTTTTCTCTTAATCTTTAACCTTTGGCATTTTAATTTTGATGTCTCGGTGTGGGCCTCTTTGTGTTCATCTTGAGACTCTCTGCACTTCCTGGACTTGTATGTCTATTTCCTTCACCAAGTTGGGGAAGTTTTCTGTCATTATTTTTTCTAATAGCCTTTCAATTTCTTGCTTTCTCTCTCTTCTCCTTCTGGCACTCCCACGATGCAAATGTTGGTATGCTTGAAGTTGTCCAGAGGTTCTTTACACTGTCCTCATTTTTTTTTTATTATTTTTCTTCTTGTTCTAAATGGATATTTAAAAATTACTTTTATTTTTTAAGTTTTTATTGTTTTTTCCATTGCCATCGAACCCCATTAATACCCTCCTCCTCCCTAATTGGGTGTTTTTTGCTTTCTTATATTCCAAGTTGCTAATTTGATTCTTGGCTTCATCCACTCTACTATTGATTCCCTATAAATTGTTCTTTATTTCAGTTAGTGTAGCCTTCACTTGTTTTTTTTTTTTTTATGGTTTCCATGTCCTTTTTTATATTGCTGAAATTCTCACTAAGTTCCTTGAGCATCCTTATAACCAGTGTTTTGAATTCTGAATCTAGTAGATTGCTTGTCTCCATTGTGCTTAGTTCTTTTTCTGGAATTTTGTTTTGCTCTGTCATTTGGGACATATTTCTGTCTCCTCCTTCTGGCAGTCTCCCTCTGTTTGCCTGTGTATATTAGGTGAAGCTGCTATAACTCCCTGGCTTGGTAAGGTGGCCTAATGCAGTAGGTGTCCTGTAGGGTCCAGTGGCATAGCCTCCCCAACACCCAAGCTGGATACTCAGGTACATCCACTGTGTGGGCTGTGTACACCCTCCAGTTTTAGTTGAGCCTTGGTTATACTGTTGGCAGGTCAACTGGAGGGGTTTACTGAGGCCAATCAGCTACAATGCCTGGCTGTGATCACTGACCACCAACTTTCAACCACCATGGAGGATCAGCTGTGCAGGGCTCAGCTCCACAAATCCTACTCCACAGAGCAGGATGTACTTCAGCAGGGCTCTGGTGCCCACTGAGTCCACCTCTTGAGTGTGTTGCTTCTGGAGGTGGTTAGGTGATGGTGCTCCAATGTGGCCTGTAGCTGTCCACTGGGTGTGCAGGCTCTGGGGCTTCCTGGAAGGTGCAGACCAAGGTCAGCCACTGCCTGTGTTCTGTCCGGGGGCACCCAGCATAAGCTACAAAGTGATTTTCAGATGGCTGCTACGTGTGCTGGGCTTAGATACACCCAGGCGAGGCCAAGCTGTGAGCCAAGGCCAGCTGCTTCTAGTGCTGGGCCTGGGGCCACTTAGTGAGAGATATGGGGCTCACTGAGGCCATATGCTGCTTGCCTGAGATGATTTAGGAAAATCTGAAGCATGAGCCAAGACCAGTCAACTGTATGGAAAAGCCACTAGAAACAGCTTGGGGGGCCCTGAAAGTTGGGTGGGGTGAGGTGGAGCCTCAGGGATTCACCCAGGGTGGGGCAAACAGTGTTAGCCAGGTTGATGGAGACTCAAATATGGCACCCACTTCCCAGCTCTGGGGCTCTGTGGGGAGAGGGCTCAGAAAAGGAACAATGGCCTCTGCCAACACTTCTGTCTGGAAGAAAGCTGCCCCCCTGATGCCAGACACTTCAGCTCCTGCCCATATGCCATGATGCCTTTTAATCTGCTTCTCGCAACCTGCAGCTCAGAGGGAGTGAGTCTGAGTAAGCCTGTGTGTGAGCTCTTTAAGAGGAACTGCCTGTGAATCCAGTGGTTTCTGTCTCTTACAGCTTCAATCCCTGCTGGTTTTTATAGTCAGAAGTTATGGGGACTTATCTTCCTGGCACTAGAATCCTGGGCTAGGGAGCGTGGTGTGGGGCTGGGACCCCTGATTCCCGAGATATCCCTCCCAATTTTTATCTGCCACACGTGGGTGTGGGACCAGCCAGTTCTGTCTCTCCGCCCCTTTCACCAGTCTCGCTGTGTTTTCTTCTTTAATTCCATACTTGTAGGACTTCCATTCAGGCTGATTTCTGGCAGTTCTGAATGATGGTTGTTCCGTACTTTAGTTGCAATGTTGATGCGGTTGTGGGAGGAGGCGAACTATGTTTACCTAGTCCACCATCTTAGCTTTTTCTCTTGTATATGCTACTTGAAATTACTAGAGAGCTGACCCATATTTAAGGAAAAAAAAGCATAATATATAGAAATGCTAATAAAGTATTAACATGAGCCTATGGTAAGGCTTTCTATTGTTTCATCCCAAGCTCTTTTGCATATTGAGGAAGTATTGATAAACTATCATTCAGCTGAATGGGGTGAACATAATCACCCAAGTCAGTTATAATCACCAATACTGACACAAGGATTATTTTCATATATCAAAGTCTGAATCAGATCATATATCATTTGATCAGCTAATAGGTGTTTACCTCTCCAATGGCCAACAATCGATCCTTATAATTCTCAATAATGGGCAAAGCTACCTCCAAATCCTGGGAGAAAAAGAAAGTATATTTGTTAAACTAGGAGAAGGAACCTGACATTTTACAAACACATATGACATGCCGGGCACTATGCTGTACTGGGTCCTTTACATCCATTCTATTCCTTTAACCGGTTGAGGAACTAGGAAGAGTAGTCCCTCTACAATGGTGAGCACTTCTGTTTGGAAATTTGAGCAGTAACATCCCACCCCCATTCAGGTCACAAGAATACAACTGTTTATAAAGATTCACACTTAAACACTTTCTTCTGCTTAGGAAGCATTTCCTGGCATTTTGGAGGACGGCTTTGATTTCCTGGAACATCTGAACAGGAGAGAAGAAAGCCACCAGGTGGGCACCTTTGTGAGTGAGTTTCGGGGAGTACATTACGTTATGTTCTCCTCTTAGGGTACTGGTGGTCTATGAGTTTATAATAGTGATAACCCCACACATCCTTTGTACAATTTTTACTGATTTCTTTTATCTTTATAATCCTGCTTAGTCTATTTTTGTCCTAAAGGTTCAACAATATAAACACTATCAAATATATGCTTGTTTGTCAACCGTTTGGAGTAACCGTGTGCCATTACTTTCCATGATACTACTATTTCACTCAGAGAATCTGCCCTGTGAGGTTTCCCCTGTAAGGCAAGAGAAAGACAAATATAAGGAAAATTTGCTTCTTTTAAAGTACTTTAAGGATTTCAGTCATGGGATATGTAAATTGCAAGGTACTTCTACTAAGGATAATCAGAACGAGGGGGAATTTTAAAGGGGAAGGAAAACAGATGGTAGAGGAACAGGAGGAGATTTTACAATTATGCCTCGAGAGGGAGAAAAGGAGATGAGGGAGAGTGAGTGAACGCCTCAGAAATACCTTCCAGTAAATCAGTGAAGAGGCATTCATATTGTCGTGAGGAGCTGAGTATACAACACTAGATATCAGAGAGGGTGTTCCCTAACAGCTAATGACTCTGTTATGGGGTTTTTAAAGATCCTGTATCTCTCCACACTGTGACTGGGAATACTACTACTACTATATAATCATTCATGATTTACACACGAGGAAACTGAGACTTGGCAAAGTTAAGGGCCACAGATCACAGATGCCAGTAGCTCAGGGCTCTCTGACTTCAAAGCACAGGCTATTTCCAATATGCTGCTAAAGGAAGAGAGGAGAGAGGAAAAAAGAAAGGAGGAAAAGAGGAAAAGAAAGAATAAGGCAAAGGGGGAAAAGGAAAGAAAGTTTATGTTGAATGATTTTAAATGATTACAAAAGATATTTTTATTAAAGAAAACGTTTAGGCTTCAGAACCTCTAGAACAGGGGTCACGTGTGCAACCAAAATGAGTGCGGTGGGCCACGCAGGGGCAGGAGCCAATAGGAGAGGAACTGACCTGCCCGTAGGGGCAGCAGATGGTGGCCAGCAAATCGTGGTTCTGCAAAGTATCCCTGGGACCTGAACCCTGCCTGGTAATAATGTGTATTGAATAAATGAACTCAGGAATATGTTGAAAGATTTGTGCGATGCTAGGCAATTGCCAGTTTGTAAACCAAGCTAATGTGATGAATGCTCGCTACAGTCCTAACCTCCTCCCACCTGTCAGGGGCTCACAGTCTAATTACCACGCGAGAACAAAACAACGGTGTGGAATACACACTAGGACTGAAGTAGGAGTAACTGTGTATCTCTGGTCTCTTCCAGAGGGCCACCCTGAGATTCGATAAGTCCGTATCTACTTTGACCGTCTAGAATTTCCAGTACATTATTGATATGTTAATTACTTTTGTAAGTTAAACAGTCCTATCAGTTCTACATTCATACCAAAAATACACCAAAATCATCTACTTCTCTTCACCTGCACTGCTGCCTCTGGTCCAATCTACCATCATTTCTCACATGCACTATTGCAATACCTTCTCGCTGTATTCCCTTCTGCATTTTCACCCTCTTCAAAATTCATTCTTCATACCATAGTGAAGGGGTTCTTTTCAAAACTCACATCACATTTTATCAGTCCTCACTTGAAATCCCCCATTGATGTGAAATCTAACAGGGCTCTGTAGGAGGTGACCCCTGTCAAATCCCACTGACCTCGCCACTAGGACTTCCCTTCCCTCTGGTCCCATCAGCCTCCTTTCCCCTCCTTGACCACATCAAGCTCGTTCCTATCCTAGGTCATTGTTTCCTCTGCCTACAACACCCTGACCCCTCTCTCTGTTTGGCCAGCTCCTCAGAGAGTCCCCCATTGACCACACAATCTAAAACCTGGCACCCTCAATCCCGATCACATAACTGTTGTCTTTATTGTTTTACTGTCTTTAAAGCACTCAGCGCTACCTAGAGTTTTCCTGTTCACGTATCTAATTATTCATTGTCTGCCCCGATCCGAATCTAGTTTTGTGAGAGAGACACTGCTCTACAGCACTTGCAATGCAGTAGGTGCTCAGCAAACACATGCCTGACTAACTGAATGAATGCCTATTACTGTACTGGTAAATCTCTACATAAATGCAACAAATGCCATCCTGATATGACCCCCAGCATTACGGAAGTTGTAACTCCCTGGCAATTCAGCTTCTTTTATCACATTGACAATTCAGGAGAGCTAAAGAATAAGAAGTATTTATTTTTTACCTGAAGTGAATTAAAAGTAATTTTGTTTCAAAATAAGGAGAGCTATGTGGAGTATCTACATGTAGGAATACAGATTTGTTATTATAAAAAATGACAGACCTCGTATCTTTATTTAGTTATAGGTAACACAAAGTCTTCCCTTCTTCAAAATGGGGCTATTGGTCTCATTATGTAATCAGGCACTGAAGAAATTGTGCCTCTCCCTGACAAGTCGGAAATATAAGACACACTGGCTACTGTGAGTCCATGAGATCTCGTGGGTAGGATCTTTTTTACAGAGGGTATGAAAGCCATGCAGTGTAACAGACCAAGGGCACTCCTGTGCGGATGGTTCAACGTTCAAAGAAGACACTGTGTACCTGAACTCATCTGTTCCCTTAGACTACTGCACTTGTGAATTTGTACATTTCTTTGGATATTTTACCACCTTTTTGCCAAATCAGGATGACAAATATGATTTTTAAAAATGTAAAAACAAATCACTTGTAATTCTACAAGATTGTCACAGCTACTATCATTTCTGTGTTTTTCTTTGTAGTCTTTTCCCTATAGGATATGTTTGTATACGATGTCACTCAGCAAATAAGCTGTTTGCCTCTTGCCTTTCTCCCTATATTATTCTGTAAACATTTTCCATGTTGCTACATAAATCTTATAATCCTCATTTTTCACAAATGCATTACATTTAACACTCTACAAGCAAACTAATTATCCTTTTATTTCTGGGCCACTAGGCTGCTTCTCCTTTTTTTCTATTACAAATAATTCTGCAATGAACATCTTTGGGAAAGGAGGTTCTTCTTTTCCTTCTTTTAGATTATTGTCTTAGACTTCAAATCAGAAAAAGGAGGATTACTGAGCCAAAGGGATCATCATTTGTTAAGGTTTTTGTTTTATGGGACTGTTACCTTTAACGTGACACTCCTCTGGTCTCGCGGTGGAAGTCCTTGCACAGGATGGACCCCCAAGCAGGGCAGGACAAACCCGCTGTATCTAAAAGTGTAAAATGAATTGAGAAAGTAGATTATTAGCGTAGCAGACAATGTTGCTCTAAAGAATAAGTAGGAAAGAATTTTTTAGGGCTATTTTATATTTTCCTTCTCATTCTTCTTAAAAATGATAATCTTTGAGATTATAAACATGATATCATAACTGCATCTTTATTAGCAACTCTTTAAGTTCTTAATGAGAAGTAGCACCGTTCTGAAAGCTGCATAATCTTTTCAAATTCTCCTGAATGTTCAGCAACCACCACAAGAGCCATAACATTGGCCTGAAACAGAGAAAGAATAGAGAAGTTAGAGTTTCAAGCAATATACATCCAATATAGTTTTTATAAATGTAAAGTTTTCTTTGTTCATCTATACTCCATCAGTATAATCATAATAGCTATCACTGAGTACTTACTATGTTTCAGCTACTATGTTCAGTGAACATAAACATCACCTCAATTAATCTACAAAACCTTATGAGGTAGGCATTGCTGTAATCTACTGTATGATCAGGAGACAGAATTTTAGACAGAGTCAAATAACTTGCCCAAGATCATCGGACCTGTGTTACTCCAAAGCCTACACTCCTGATTGACCTGTCCTAGTGAACAGTGGCTGTATATAAAAATGTACTGGCAGCCACTTCTGATTGACAATATTGGGAAAGATTATGAAATGCTAGTTATAGTGAGTTTCATAAACACTTCCAAAAATTAATAATTTTTTCCCAAACAAAAATGTCTCAGAAAACTTTTATAATTTCTCCAAGATCTCCAAAAAAATGTTAACTTTAGAGCTGACAGATGGACTAATCTGTTCCATGTTACTGGTGAGCATGATGGCTGGGGGAATGTGTTTTCAATGGACTTTCTTGTCTGCACCATTTTACTAGCTGTGTGCCTTAGTTTCCTCATCTATAAAATGGGCAATGGTTAGATAAAACAGTGGTATCCAACCTATTTGGCACCACTGGACCAGTTTTGTGGAAGATGAGGGTGGAGAGGGGTGGTTGGAAGGGGAGGTGAGCGTTGCTGGCCTTATTGAGGAATAGGGAGGGGCCAGAGGCAGAGCTCAGGTAAGCTTCACTCTCCCCACCCCACCCCCTTGGTGTGGATGTGGGGGGAGGGGTGGGGTCAGGAGGCAGAGCTCAGGTGAGCTTTGCTTGTGGGTAGCTACTGGTCTGCAGCTCAGGGTTGGGGGACTCCTGGGCTAAAAAACAGTAGCTTCCACAGAAGGTTGTTGTGAGATATTAAATGAAATAATGTACAGAGAGGGCTTAGTCAGTACCTGTTGCATAATAAATACAATAAATGTAACATTACTGAAGCATCAACAGAGCATATCTGAATTTCAAACTGTTCTAATCTAAAATTAGAAGGAAAACAAAAAGAAAAGAGAAATTATAGATATTGACTTACTTTCTTGGCTTTCTCCAACACATCATCCAGATCCTAAAATAAGCATAAGTTATCAGAGTTACTCTGGATGAATAAGTAACTGCTCTTCAGCTGTGTGTATTGAAGCAACATAAAGAATGACAATGATGGCGAGGAACAGTATGGTGGAATGTGAAGAACCTACACTGACCTGCCTTCTGTTTCCTCTTTCTTTCTCTAAGAAAACTTGGCATCTATTCCCTCTACATTAAAACAGAAACTGTTACTATCAAATGTAAAGGACACTTCTCTGTCCTCCTCCTACTTTGCCCCTCAACAGCATTTAGGAACTCCTCACTTGTCCACTCCTTCCATCCTGAAATATGTTCCACTTTTGGCTTCGGCAATGCCACTCTCCTGCAGACACCACTCTCTTATTGGCTGCTGTTTAAGTTTCCTTAACTGGCTCTCTCTCCTCTTTCTGATTTCAGGACTGTACACTCCTATTTCTTTACTCAGTTTAAGTGATCTTATTCACAGGTTTAAAACTATTATTATGCTAATAAGACCCCAAGTGTTGTTTGCAGCCTATTATTCTTTCCAAAACCCAATATTCATATTTAAGAATGACTATATGACATCTCCACTTGGACGATATTAGGCTTCAACAGGTACCAAGCATAAATAACTCTGTTCTCTCCCCAACAAACCTATTCCTTCTGCCTCCCCTCCCAACCTGTCTTCCCTCATCTCAGTAAACAGCATCACCAACCTCCCGACAGCATCAAGTCCCCTCTTTCCTTCCCTCTCCACATTCTATTCTCCAGCATGTACTGCAGATCCTATCTGTAAGATATACCTGGAATCCATCTGCTTTTCTCAAACTCCCCTGCAATCATCATTATCTCTTGTCTACATACTGAAAAAGTTTCCAAAGTGGTCTTCTAGCTTCCACCCTTGCTCTCCTTTATCCGGTTGCTGCACATCAGCAAAATAGTTCTTAAATGAATATCAGATCTTGTCACTCTCTTAAAAAGGAAAGAAAAACCTTTACTAGATTCGCATTGTTCTTTTAATGAAATCCAAACTTCTTACCAACCTACCTGACCTATCCCCTGACAACCTCTTTATTCTTGCTTCATGCGTCTCTCCAGGCTCCATCCAGTATTTTGGTAGCATGAAGGTGCCAAATTCAACCTGCCCACTTTCCTCACCCCCGTACACCCATCTTCTTGTTTGGCTGGCCCACCGTCCCCGCTCCCCCCAGTAGACTCCGCTCTTCCTTCTCTATTATGAGCCTATAGTTTCCAATGTAGCGGGTAAAACACTTTGTAACTCTGATCTTGTGCGTGCGTTGTTCCTTCTATTTGCCTCGGAGCGAGCCCGTGTTTACGGGAAAGTGCATTCTCAGCCGGGCCAAGCGGAGGTAGGGGGAAGAACTCCGATAACCGGGTAAAGCAAATTAAAGTGGAGACAGGGGGCTTATGCTATTCCGGATCAGAAAGAAACATCAGTATGATTGTGGTTGAATAGGTAGACAGATGCAAGTCACACCGGCCATAAACCGGCCTGGGTGGATCCGGGGCTCCGTCCTCTTAAGAGAGCAAAGGAAACCTGAAGGAAGAGGACGGGGGTCTTCCTGCTCCCACCCACCCGGCCGGCCTTGCCCTCGCTTACGCGGTCGAAATCTGGGGCGGAGAGGTGGCAGTGGCAGTCCACCAGCCCTGCGCCCACCGCCCCCATGTCCACGGCGGGCGTAGCCCTGGACTCGCCCCGGAGCCTCAGCCTGCGGTCCTCAGCCGGAACGCTGCCGCGGCGGCGGACTGAGTTTCCGACTGCACGCGGACACTTTCCTACCGTGGAACTCGCTTCCGCTCCCAGAATTCCCGCCCACAGTTCAAACTGGAAAATGGCGGGGACTCCAGAGTTGGAGGTCCTTTCGCCTCTGGGGGATGTGGAGAGAGTAGCCGGGGCAGAAGACCGGACCTCGGTCCCCGCCACCACCCGTCAGGACTTCCGTGTGCGCTGCACCTCGAAGCGTGCCGTGATGGAGCTGGTGGAACTGTGCGGCCCCTTCCTGCAACAGCTCGGGGATTCGCTGCCAGACAAGATTCGGGAGCCTGCGCTGCGAGATGCGCAGTGGGTAGGGCCCCAGTAGTACCCGCTTGTCACCTTCCTTACCCAGGGTCTCAGAGCTCAAGGGCCTGCCCCAGGTTTTAGCGAGGTTTACGGTGCTCCATGCTCGCGTAAAGCAGCCAGAAAAACTCGAGGGAACGCAACAGATACAGTGTTCGCTGGGAATTATTAATTACTTAGACCAACGCTGCCCAGTAGAAAAATACAAGGCGAGCTATGTATATAACTTGAAAGGACAAAAAAAAGGTGAAATTAATTTTAATAATTTTTTATTTGACCCTCTAGCCCAAGGTTTCGTTTTAGTTTGTGATAACAGAAAAACGAACGAGATATTTTCCATTCCTTTGTTCGGACTAACCTTTTCAAATCTGGTGTCTGAAATATACAGCTCATGTTCTTTCGGACATCGGACTAGCCACGTTTTAAAGGTCTCAGTAGTCTCAGTGGCTAGTGAGTGGCTCCCCCGTTGGAGTAGAGAGACGCCGTGAGTTCTCCAGGAAAAAATCCTGAAGTCAGTGAGTGGGTCACCAGGCTAGCGTTTGGTTTCTCCGTTGGCCTGTTTTAGAATATCTTGTAAAGAGGGTGAAAACAAGTCTGAAGTAGATAAGGAAGCTGTCTTAATTATAAACTTCTCCATACACTGGACTTTATAACACATTGTCCTTCCTCTAAAAAAATATCTCGCAAAGCCTTGAAGAAGATAGGGTTTTTTTTTAGGGGTGTGGGGGGAGCTACAACAAATTGAGGGATTAGTGCCTGTCATAAGGAAGCACACAATTTATGTGTAGAAAGTTTTTTAAAAAATCTTACAATGCAGCATACCTGTGAGTGTGAATGAGCACAATGCAAACAATAAAAGTAAAGATTAAGCTCTGGTGGCATGGCTCAGGTGGTGTAAGCATCCTTCGTACATCAGCACCGTTGTGCGTTCAATCTCAGGGCACAAACCTAGATGGAGGGTTCAATCCCAGGTCTGGTGCAACAGGACGCAACTGATCAATGTTTCTCTCTGATGTCGGCAGTTCTCTCTTTCCCTTCCTCTGTCTCTAAAATCAATCTGCGGAGGATTTAAAAAAAGGTTAAGTGGAGGAAGAATGAGAAAACACTCCCTGAGTTGTGCTTCTGTTTTCCAGTTTTGGATCCAGTGGCTCTTATTTCCTCCTTGCAAGCAAGGGAAGAATACAGACATTCTTAGTAAATTTTTTGGAGAAGGTTGTTTTATTGTGTATTGATCTTAAGAGTTTACCCCTTTCTAGGAAGTGCTAAGGTAAACTGCAAGGGAATTGACTTGTGTTTATTTTAAATAAGAGAACAAATAAAAGTCACAGGCTTTAATTATGTTGATGTATCTCTATCTAAAACCACATAATATAGTAATAGACTTTACAAAAAAAACAGTATTGGTACAGTTGTGCCAATACTACAAAGATAATTTGTATTCTCAGATAATCCTTGAAAGTCTGTATATAAAGTAAATATTTTTTTTTTTTTAAGATTTTATTCATTAATTTTTAGAGGAGAAGGAGAGAAATGCCTGTCAGTTGCCTCTCACCTCCCACAGTCGGAGACCTAGCCTGCAGCCCAGGCATGTGTTCTTTGGTTTGCAGGACGACACCCAGCCCACTGAGCCACACCAGTCGGGGCTAAAATCAATATATTATTACTTTATAAAGATTTTAAAGTGTAAAATATATAATTTATTTCATAATTACACATTATTTGATTTATGCTTATTTTTAATTTACAAATACATCCTCATTGAGAAGAATAGCATAAAGCAAAGTCTTTGAATTTCCCTGTCCTATTCCTCTTCCTGTATGTGTCCTGACTGGGGATCAAACCCACAACCTCAGCATATTGGAACAACACTAACCAACTGAGCTACCTGGCCAGGGCTCCATCCCTTTCCGTCTGTGTGTATCTTTCATTCTGAGGTGGGTGTCTTGTAGATAGCATATAAGTGGGTTAAGTGGGTCTTGTTTTCTTATTCAGCTACGTGTGTCTTTTGATTGGAGCAGTTAAGTTAATCACTAAAAGTGATGTATTGTCATTTTGTTCTTTTAGCCCTGCAGAGGTTGCAGCTGATCTGAGAGATACAAACTCTTTTCTTAAATATTGTTACATAAATCAAGTGTATAGGTTCAAGGTCATGACTAGCTGCGCATTTGTATGTGACTAATATTAAGCCATAATGTTTAAGCCGCCAGTGTGGTTATAACACGTGTTTCGTAAGGGTAGGTGATATTTGATAGTAAATTGTACCTGAGAGATACTTCGAACTCCGAAGTCATTGTTGGTATAGTTGTTTATTTTCCATGAACTTGGAAGTCAGTGCTTTTTTTTTCCCCATTTACCATTGAAAATGGCTGGAAAAATATATTCATTCAATAATACAAATGATGTTGGACTTCAGCAAATGCTGCTGCAGCTACTTCAGCGATTTGAGTTGCTTATCAAAATATTTTTGCAAGTGTTGTGAAAAGTATTCATGCCTCGAGCACAGCAGTATTGTTTGCAGTGACAGGTACACACATTTTGCAAGCCAATCACTGAAGAGTCTGATTAATTAATGTTAAAGACATTTTTTGGTAGTGTTTTTTAGCAATATCCATATTTTTGTTATTTGAAAAGAAAATTATGTTTTTATAATTCTCTGCTAATTTCTAGATTGTAACTGAAAATAAATTAAAAATCATGTACTTTATTATATAAATATAATAAATACAAATTTGCAGTGTTTTTAATATTTTTCCACATTTCAGCATAATAGTGATGAATGTATCTCTTGGATATGGGCAACCTACACTAATTTTTTCGACTGCGACCTCTGCAGGGTTAACTGTATCCCTTTGCTTATTTTTTTCTTCTTTCCTTTTTTCCCCTTCTTCTTCCCTTTAACGCTTCTTGTAGTACTGGTTTGGTGGTAATTCCAGCTCCTTTAGCTTTTTCTTACCTGGGAAGCTCTTTATTGTTCCCTCAATTTTAAATGATAGCCTTGCTGGGAAAGTAGTCTTGGTTGTAGGTCCTTGCTTTACATCTCTGGGTATTTCGTGCCAGTTCCTTCTGGCCTGAAATGTTCTGTTGAGAAATCAGCTGACAGTTTTGTGGGGGCTCCCTTGTAAGTAACTATTTTTCTGTTGTTGCTCTTAGGATTCTCTCTATCTTTAACCTTTGCCATTTTAATGATGTGTCTTGGTGTGGTGTTAGCTTTCATGTTTTATTTCATTTGAAAAGTACATGCTTTTGTTTACAAGAATATTCTAAAATTTGGGGTCAAATTATAATGGCTATCAGAGCAAAAGTGTTGGTAGAATCAACTGAAATGGAATTTTCTTTGAAAATAAGTATACTAATAGGCCAGTCTACTACTTTTTTGTATCCCCTATCACAGATCCAAAATTATTTTGCCAAAATATTTAAATTCAGTGTTGGAAGTTATTTTTAGTGACTTGACTATTGTGAATGTATTGCAGACTTTTGAGTCAGCTGTACAAGAGAATGTCAGCATTAACGGGCAAGCATGGCAGGATGCTTCAGATGATTGTTTCAGAGGTAAGTGATGCAACTTTTTTCTTGTCATTAATTTCTGGCTTATTCTTATAGCTAATTTTATGTCAAATGCTAATTTTTAATCTCCATGCTCAGTGTTACTTCTCTTTAAAAAATATTTTATTGGATGGGGGAGGAGAAAACTAGTCTAGAAGACTACTGAAGTTGTAGCCTGAGGTAAACAACAGAGTGGGTACCTGATCCTTTATATTTTCTGTCTGGCATCCTCACCGAGATTTGCGTCTGATGAATCTTCAAAAGTACCCAGGTCATTCGTTCATTGGAAAATTCTATGGAACTCTCCCCAGATGAAGAAACAGGCCCAGTGAATTACTGTGATCAATAGTTTGTGAATCAAGTTGTGTTTTTATAAGCGATCCTTAAAGTAGATAGTGAAGAACCTTAGGGACGTGAACTTAAACCATGAGAGTGCCACGTCAAGGATGAGAGGTCAGTATTTTGAGAAACATCCTTAAAAAAAAAAAAACAATGCTTTCCTGGTACAAAGCAGACTTGACTGTACCCTAACTAATGTTATTGACATATCTAAAGAAATCAAAGGTTTTTTTTTAATTTATTGATTTTAGACAGAGGAGGGGGGGAGAGGGAAAGAGAGAAACACTGATTTGTTGTTGCATATATTTATGCCTTTATTGGTTAAATCTTTTTTAATCATCACCCAAGGATACAGTTATTGATTTTAGAGAGGATGTGTGGTGGGTAGAGAGAGAAACATCTTTGTGAGAGAGAAACATTGATCGGTTGCCTTCTGTACATTGTTCCACTTACTTATGCATTTGATTGGTTGATTCTTGTATGTGCCCTGACCGGGGATTGAACTTGCAACCTTGGTGTATCTGGACATTACCTGGCCAGGGCCAAAGTTTTAGTAGAAAGATATTCAGCGTAGAAGGGAAAAATTTAATAGAAAAATAATGATCAGTGTGGGGGAGAAGCAGAATTCTTCAGCAGTGCCAGGAGAAGGTCTGCCCTGACAAGAGGGCCAGAGTATCTCACCTGTCCCCATACTGATACTGCGGAGATCTGACTAGCGTAGCTTGATACCACTGTTAACTGTTCTGATTATTTAGTTATACTCTCGAGCTGATCCAAGCCCACCAT